TTCTACAGTAAAGTTAATTTTCGAGACTTAAATTTATAAAAAAATCAAGAAATAGTGGATGCAGAAGTAGTTGGTTTTAAAAGATTGGAGAGTAGACAGTGGCGTATATAGGATATGAATACTCTCTGCTCCACCCATCCGCCCACAGTCTAACCCTATAGATGTTACATAAGTACAATAATACGCTAAATATTAATAAAAAAATAAAATAAAACCGTGTTGCCGATTATTCGTCCATGTGATATGGGAGGTAAAAGGCTCTTTAGTTTATGACTCCTTGTGGGATTCAAAGATTGCCCTGCTTGGTCTTTCATGAGTTGCAACTGTTTCCCTAAGTTCCAAAACATTTTATTCGGTGGGATTACACAAGCTGGGAATGAGTATCATCAGAAGGGTCCTTGAGCACGAAAATATTAATCTTATTGATTTCAAAAGCAGACCTTTTCTAAGTTAGGACTAAATTGGGCGAGGCTCTGGAGAAGCTGCGCAGCTAGATGTTTGACACGAAGTAAAGAAAATCGAAGACTGAACATTTTCTTTAAATAATATTAACTTGGGAACTGTCATACCTTATTTCGGATTAGTTTTAACCTAATAATGAGAATGTCTCATTATATCACACTAATAAACTAGGTTGTTAGATGTCTTCTTAGATCACACTGTTAATCTAGGTACTGATATTATTCTTAGATCACTATTAGTCTAGGGAGTGAGATATTTGCTTAGATCACTAGAAGTCTTCTTATATCAGACTAAATGTTAACATGCCGCGCGACGTATTATATACATTTTGTTAATCTCAAACTCGTTAGAAAGATATAAATATTGTAAATTACATCTGAAGATGGTATTGTGGCTACATTGAAACATGTAGAACTTTCAACAAAACTTGTTAAATACAAATAATCATTGTGTTGTATTTAATTAATTTCAAACTAAAGTGTATGCTGAGAACATATTGCTTTAAAAACTAGTATGAGTTAATGTAGGGATTACAATAATTTTTTTTATATTAGATGATAATTTGGTGCACTTTTTCTCTGGTTCCTCGATGTTTGTAACTAACAGCATATTGGGAAGGTTTGGTTGTTGTTAAGCGAAAAGCTACACAATGGACTATCCGTGCTCTGCCCACCACGGGTTATCGAAACCCGAATTTTAGCGCCATAACTCTGCAGACTTACTGCTGAGCCACTGGGACGGGGTGGGGTGGGGGCAATTATGAGAGAATAAACTTTATTGAATGGGAATGAAAACATTAGTTTTGTTTTATAGCCAGTCAAATAATGAAGCGTTACAAACTTTCAAATTGACCGCCGAGCCACTGGTGAGGAGAGGGACAATTATCCTGTTTCTCGTATTATGTTTGTAGTGATAACAGTGGGGAGAGGGACAATTATCCTGTTTCTCGTATTATGTTTGTAGTGATAACAGTGGGGAGAGGGACACTTATCCTGTTTCTCGTATTATGTTTGTAGTGATAACAGTGGGGAGAAGGATAATTATCCTGTTTCTCGTATTATGTTTGCAGTGATAACAGTGGGGAGAGGGACACTTATCCTGTTTCTCGTATTATGTTTGTAGTGATAAATTATATCAGTGTATGCACATTATATTAATTGAGAAATGAAAAATAGCAATAGTCTTGATTTTTTACTCTTCTTGCACACTTATTTTTATAAAATAATAAGCAAGGACCAATTTTTCATTAAAAAATGTTAATAATTTAGCAATCTAAGAATTTGTTTGTAATTAAGCACAAAGCTACACAATATGCTATCTGTGCTCTGTCCACCATGGGTATCGAAACCCGGTTTCTAGCGTTGTAAGTCTGCAGACATACCCCTGTATCACTGGGGTGGGGCAGCAAGCTAAGAAATCTAGAATCACTGAGTAACATTGTATAATTAATAAGAAATTATAATTGCTATCTGAAAATAAAGATTTTAATTTTTAAGCCATTAAGATCAAAGAATTTGATTTTGTAAGAAGTAGTATTATTACTAGACATTTTTGGAAGTTAATTAAAATGTAGGTAGAATAGGAAACATCTGTTATGAGATTGTAGTACGTATACATATTATTGATTTATTGTAACCATTTCTAATTATGTGATTTCAGTACGTTTAAATACGGCTGCTTTATTCCAAACATCTTTAATTATGAGATTTTAGTACGTTTACATATGATAGCTTTGTTCTAACCACCTTTAATTGTGAGATTATATGATATTTACATATTAACACCTTGACTTGGTTATCATTTAAACCAACACTCTAACTTCGTTATCATTCAACCAAACACCTTCACTCAGTTACATTCAACCCAACACTCTGACCCCGTTTTCATTCAAACCAGTACCCTAACTTCGCTATCATTCAACCAAACACCTTCGCTCAGTTATTATTCAACCCAATACTCTGAATCTGTTTTCATTGTTTGTTTGTAATTAAGCAC